TGTGAGTCTAAGGGACTTTATGGAGTTTAGAATTTTTAGGCTCGCAATTGCCCCCTCAGGCCAAAAGTGTAACGGCAGCTTCAATAGTAGGCTTGTGCACGAGGCGCGCATGCTGTACGTGCACACTCCTTAACGAAAATAACAGCTTAGACAGTCCCGTGTGTGTGTGTGGCCCAGAGGACAGGAGAACTTGCAGCTAATTAATTAAATAATTTGGTTCTGTACCTTTCTCTTCAGCACAGCCGACAAAGGTTTATGATGGGTCAGTCCTCCTGCATGCTCAGATCATTTCCTTCCCTTGCTTGAAAAATTGTTCCAAAATAAAAGTTGAACCCACATCTTTTTTATCTGTGAATTCAATGCCGTTCGGCGAGTCTCAAATAAAAATTTGGGCATCTTACTGTAAAAAAATATACCAATAATGTAAAAAGAAACTAAATAAACTTAGCCTAGTGAACTAGACCAAATTCTTGCTTTGCAAAGTTTGGTCTAGGCATGCACCATTGGAACCTCCACAGCTCCTACCAGGACTCTGGTTGGCCAATCACAGCTCTCTAGAGGGGTTTCAAACACATAATGAGCTGTGATTGGTCCATAACGGTGGGCCAATCATAGTGCTCTATCTGCTTAGTGAACAAATCACAGAGCTTTATCCGCTTTGTGGGCCAATCAGGGCACTCTATATGCCTGGTGGGTGGGAGGATGCAACAGAGTGAAACAAGAGTATGTCACATTCATTGTCCAGTGGAATGCGGAGATCATTTGAAATACAACGGTAGAACCCGCCCCACAACCGAGAGCCATCAATGGAGCATGGCCAGACTAAATAATACCTTTATTTAGTCTGGCTTGCCAGGCTAAAATAAACTATGATCACATCCAGAATCGAGCTCGGGTCTTTCGCATGGGAGTCCGCCGTCTTACTGGGTGAGCTATAACACCAGTGATGTCTTTTGTATCTGTAATGTTTATATTCTTGATTACAGCTGAAACAACGTTGAAAAAAGGTTTCGGAGCGAAAATGGCTATTTTGTTGCTATTTTGCAGGAAAGATCTAGAAGAAAGTAGCTAAGGGTCCTCAGAAATGTTGCTAGGTTCATCACTAGGCGTTAGGAACAGCGACAAAGTGGCACTGCCTCTCTCTCTGCCGCTAAAGCTACGGATAGCAAATGCTACGGGCGATGCCTGAGCATGAACGCGCATGAAGCAGCCTGCTCGACCCGAGCATCTCTCTTTTTCTGTGATTTTACAGAAAAACAGGCAATCACAGTAAAAATGCCAGGGCTCATTCTACAGGACCAGGGCATTGCAGGAGAATGTATGAAGAAGAAATTTATTATTTCTATACATGTTTTGGCTGTCACACTTCCATAATGTCCCTTTAAATCAAAAATAACTCCCAGGTTTCTAATATTGGACTTGGCTGATGGGCAAAAGGAGGCAATTTCCTGATCGATTTTTTGGCTTAAGTTCCGGGGGTGCAGAGATCAGGGTCTCTGTCTTGTTGGCGTTGAGAACAAGAAAGTTCCTGGACAGCCAGTTACTGGTCTGGGTCCAAGGATACAAGGGTGGCCAGCCTGTCCAACTGGTGTGGCATGAAGGACATATAGAGCTGTATATCGTCAGCGTAGATGTGGTAGGAGATGTCAGGGAAAGACTGAATGATGCCAGCTAGAGGAAGAATATAGAACACAAATAGTTGAGGCCCTAGAACTGAACCTTGTGGGACCCCGCAGGTTAGAGAGGCAGTGTCTGATGAAAAGGTATCTGACTTCACTGTGAATGTTCTGTTAGTGAGATAGGAAGAGAGCCAGTCTAGAGCAGAACCTGAAATCCCAGCCAGGGCATTTAACCTGTTTAGTAGAATTTTGTGGTCTACAGTGTCAAAAGCTGCACTGAGGTCAAGCAGGACCATGACAGAGCATTTCCCTGCATCAGCAGCCATCAGGAGGTCATTATGCACCCTTACTAGAGCAGTCTCAGTTGAGTGCTGCTTCAGAAAGCCAGACTGGAAGGGGTCAGAGATCTTTGACTTAGAAAACCAGGATCTGAGTTGGGTTTCCACAACCTTCTCAAGTACTTTGCTGATGAAAGGTAGCTTAGAAATGGGCCTAAAGTTACTGGTGGAGCTGGCGTCAAGGTTGGGTTTCTTTAAGAGAGGAGTCACTACTGCATTTTTAAAGTAAGATGGAACACAGCCTTGGCTCAGTGAGCTGTTGATTATAGTCAACAGAGATGGACTGATGGAGGCAAGGGACCCGACTAAAACAGAGGGAGTTAAGATATCTGATGAGCATGATGAGAGTTTCATCTGACTGATTATTGAGGTTAAGTCATTTAGTGTAATTGGGGAGAAGGAGGTGAACGTCTCGGAGCACTGGGGGGGCCTCCCCTCCTGAGGGGGCGAGGGCTGGTGGAATGCTGGATCGCAGATTTAACACCTTGTTTGCAAAAAAGTGGAGAAAGGTGTTACAGTCATCAGCTGAAGATAGCTGAGCCTGCTGCGGAGGAGAAGACACGATGCTGGAGATGGTATCAAACAAAACCTTAGGATTATTCTTATTTTGACATATGAGGTTGCTGAAGAAAGAAGACCTGGCATTTTCTACAGCTTCGTTGTATGACTCTAGAAGTTCTTTAAAATATTCGCGATGAACAACCAGACCTGTCCTCTTCCACCGTAGTTCCGCTTTTCTATAGGAGCGTCTAAGTTCAAGAATCTGGTTGTTCAGCCAGGGTGAACTGGAGGCACTGGAACTGTGGCTGGTTTTGTAAGGGGCGACCTGATCTAGAATTCTGAGGCAGTGATCATTAAATGAGTTGGTAAGGAGCTCTACGTCATCAGAGGAAGGAGGTACAAAGTCAAAGAGGGAGGAGAAATTTAAAATGGTAGAACTGTTGATAATACGTCTTTGCTTAGCAGAGACTGGTAAAAGAGATTCAGAATTTAGGTTAATATGAAAAGAAACTGACTTATGGTCACTGAACACAACATCATGTATCTGCAGCTTATCAATAAGAAGTCCGTAGGAAAAGACCAGATCCAGGGTGTGGCCTGCTCTGTGAGTGG